AATCAATAATAATTGGGGTAAAGAAATTATAGTTACCTTGTAACTAATCGTAAACTGATAGTTCCTCATTCGATGGCGTATTGAATTTTTCTATTATTAATGTAATCACCGAAGAGAATTACTTGCATCGTTTTTCATCAAGCGATTTCTCCTCAAATTAGATTTGCATATTTAAGCAGAATAACTCGCACGCAATAACTATTGCTTATCACCAAGAGCGGAATATTCGACACACAATTACTCTTAGATGTCTATCTTTTTGTTTATCTTTGTTACGTAAGAATAAGTGATATACGAGTGGCTCGGTACAATAACTACTGGCCTAACTACTATTTCTAAGTTTTCGAGGAAAAAGGCATATTATCATATTACAAGGTTATACTGTTGCAATATTATAATGTTGAAATATCAGAATATCACAATATTACAATGTTGCAATAACACAGTATCACAGCATCACAATATAATATCACAATGTCACAATGCCACGATATTACAACATCAGAATATCACAGTCCTATTGACAATATTAACCACTATTAATCATTAACACCAATAATTACCACATAAATATCGAATTAATCCATTACACGAAATCCTTTTCTCCGGAAATCAGAAGCAGTAGTCAGACCACAATTACCCCGACCCATTCAATAAAAATATTTAACATTCTCCTAGCAGTGTACGTATCAAATTTAATTCTCGACGTATCAAAGATCCAAGCTTCATACAACCCAGGCTCGAACGATCTCCTAGGGAAGACGTTCCGGTTCCTGACGTGTAAAGTATTTTTCGGGGGAAGCGCGGAGCATCGCGTAATTAAACATCCTACCGCGGCGGTAATTAACGAGGCGGGCCGAGACGTCGTTGGTCGATCGTTGAACCGGGAGGGACACGCGGAAAAAAGTGGTCGGAGCAGCGGGGTCGGCGCGCGTGTCGTCGAGGTTTTTGCGGAACAGTCGGGGGTGGCGGCCGTTTCTATATACTAGCCTGGCCTAACCTTTCACGCTTCCGTGGCGCTTCGTCGACTTGCGAATGAATTCTTACTGTTAACCCCTTGCCTCATGATTTCTTTTTGAACTGTGATCAATCTCACTATTTTGTTATCGATAATTTATTAACCCTTTGCGCTCCTATGACACGACATCAATATTTACAGATGTGCTTCTTTGTTAAGATATTTTTAAAATAGAATATATTATTATGTTATTTTCAATATTATTAATAAGAAGAATCGTTTACACTGGTCTCTGCAGACTATCTACTTTTTAAAATGCATTTCAAATAAAATATTGTGATAATACACGGTTATCGAGGAAAAAATGCAACAGAAATTCGGAGTGCAAGGGGTTGAAAACAATAGGAAGTTCCAGTCTTGTGAGCTCTAAGGTTTAATCATTCATACGAGGAGTAATATGTAATTTGCATTTAAACACATTGAATAATATTTATGTTTGTTAAATTCTCATTTTTGCCACGAGTCTGACACGATATTGTAGGGCAAGGGGTTCTCCTTTTGCGGTCGAATGTCGGCGCAATGGCGACTTCGAGCTTCGATATCGGAAATAATTTAATTATTCGACTAACGAGAAATTGATATGCAGTCTTTTTTCTTTTAGTCTTTCGGTGCATAATTTAGTTGTTCATTTCGAGGCGAACAATTTAAAAAAGTATTTTATTTCTACATCCCCTAGTTTCAGACATATTGTAAAATATATACTTTCTACCCTCAATTTTGAGAGGTGTATTCACTGTTTCAACGTGGACGTTAGGCGATAAGAAAAAATACGTGTCAAATATTTTCTTATATATAATATGGTAATAATAATAGCCAAATTGCAGTGTATATAGTGAAATTAATTTACTTCTCGACGATGTCAATAATTTCGAAAATCCTAAGAATTCGCCTTTTAAGCGAAAAATTAAAAATATTTTAAGGCCTTTCGCCGCCGGATGGGAAAAATGTAAATTATTTAGCCTGCGTGGACGTGTTAAGCTATGTGAAATAAATATTATGTATCTCTGAAACTTATACCAGTTTTTCTGCCCAATACTTTGTTAAGACATGTCGGATTATAAGAAATATCATCGAAGTATCAAATGAATCTCCGAATACAAAGATCTAAGCCGCTGCCTCCTAAAAACGAGTCAGATCGGCGTGGATTTAACGAGCGCCGCTGTCATTCACGTTGAAACGAGAGGCTGCTCTCGCCGTTAAAAAGAAAAGTTATCTTCACGAGGAACAGAAAGTTTCTTTGTATTTTCGCGAATAAGCGATCGTTGTCGCGGAGGATATCGTGAGGCAAAGGGAGAATAATCAATGGAAAAAGTAAATGTAATTCGTTGCATGTGCGTCAACGTGAAAACCTATTTTGCTATTGCTCATGGTTAATATTAAATTAGATATAAATTAAAATTCATAAAAGGTAAAATTGGCTAAAATAATATAAATATCATGAAAGATATTATAATATTCTACTAAAAATTATTCAATATTCTATAAAATATTATTCAAGAGTCGTATTATTTTATATTGTTCCATATATTTCCTCTATTTCATATTTCTCAATTATTTACTATGATTATACAAACACTCACAGGACACGACTACCCACAGATACAAAAGTTCATACTGAATCATACGTCAATACCGGACTTACGTGTTGTAAATAAAAAATTTCCCGGTGCTCGAGGAATTTCCATTACTTTATCCTATCCTCGCAAGTGTACGTACAATTACGCGGAGAAGAAAATTTCTCCGTGTTCGCGGGAATGAACTAACAGTAAAATAAATTATATAGACGAGTGTAGCCGCGAAGGAGATCGAGACACCGGTCAGACACGCGTTCCTTTGCTCGGCCAACTTGTCATCGACCGAGCCACGAGAAATTCACTCGGTCGTGTAAAGGCTAGACCAAGTTGATGGATAATCGTCCGTGAACACGTGCCTTCGCTCGTGTTATTATTTCATCTGTTATTCATTTATTTCTCTCGTTTTTCTCGTTTCGAAAAATCAAATGAAGTCGTTTGTCATTTACAGTCTTCGAGGTTACTACTGGATGAATGATCGTGTATTAGCAAAGATATTTTTAACGCTGGAATTATCGAGTACTCGAATCAAATTTTTGGCATTTTTAATTAATTGAGAGTGTATTTATTGCGATTTTTATTGACTAGCATTTCAATTTTGCTAATTAGCCTTTAAGTATGGACGTGTGGTATTAGAGACCTCCATATAAAATATCGTGAATTTTGATACCAGTGAAATTTTCGTTGTGTAGTTGATTGTATTGTTATATGGAGGTATTTAAATAAGTGAAAACAATTAAATACGATAAATTTGTTTATTTGTTGCACACGAGAATATTTAATATTAATCGGACATTTTCAAACTTCCATACTTTAAGGTCATGATCACGTCCATACTTAAATGATACTACTGAACATCTTAATTTATCAAAATAATAATACTGAATACCTGAATTTTTCAATTTAATAATACTGTGAATACTTTGATTTTTTAAAATAATAATACTAAATATCTTAATTTTCAGAAATAACAGGAATAACACTCTTAATTTTTTTAAATAATAGTAATAACAACATGTATCTAAATTTTTAATATTGCTAAATCAACTTCTTTAATTACTTTGTAAAGCTTCTTTATTTGTGCAATGATTTCAAAGGAAGTCAAAAATAAACTATTTTGACCTGCACGGTGGTTCTATTGGAACGCGAGGACACTTTTTATTCACCGTAACTGCATATTTATTATAAAAACGTTAATAATAGCAACTTAGTCTTTTATTTTGTAATTACTTATCATTTTAGTTTGTACTCTATACTTAATATAATTATAGTTCTACTTTATAGCAATGAAGAACATTGATTCCTGCTAAATTTAGTTAGGAATATTTATGAGTCTCGCTCGTCATTATAAAGCAAGGGATTGATCTGTTCAGTTTCCTGAGCAAAAAATAAATTTTAATCTAGATGCTTGGGAAAAAATGAACCACCATTTTTCGGGAGATATGTCGATCTTCTAAAGATAATCGATAATCAATCGAATATCATTGTATAAATATGGCCGTTTCGGGAAGAACGAGCGCCGCCGTAATGGCGACTTCGAGCTTTGATACCTACAACCGAAAACTGCAAATGAATAATTCAGTTATTCAAATAACGAGAGATTGATATGTAGTTTCCTTCTTTCCTATTTAAGACTCCGATGCATTATTCAATTCTTTATGGGCTGAGTTTGTAGGAGTTCAACAAATCCTCGCTGGCAAACGGTTCAAATATCAACACTCTCTATAAATTTCGTCTCTCTAATTACGGGGTGTTTTCTAAATTGTAGTACACACGACTGAGAATAAAGTGAATTTATACGAGAAGATAAGTCGACAATGTGAAGTAACATATTTTTATTTTCTCGTATTCCCAAGGAGTAGATATTTCAAGCTATCAACAGACATTTTGGTAAAAACGGAGCACCATGTGAAAAAATGTTATTCTATTAAATAGATTAATTTCATTGGGTCATCTCATAAACAATACGATTGTTTCTGCTTCTTTTGTTTCTCAGAATTAACTTAGGCAAAACTTTTTTCAATCTAAAACGTATTCTACTTTACTGTCTGCACATAATGCACTAACCTTTAAAATAATACTATAAGAAAAAGAAGAAAAATCTCAAAATTTTCAAAATGATAACACTAAACATCTTAATTTACCAAAATAATAATAATAATAATAATACCTATCTCAATTTTTCAAGACAACAACAATAACACCCATCCGAACTTTTCAAAATGATAATACTAAATATCTCAACGTTTCAAAATAACAAAAATATTTTCAATCTTGTAAACAACAATAAAAACAGCTATCTAAATTTCCCAAGACAACAACAACGCCGTCCCATTCTCTGAAAACACCAGAAGCATCGAAGCAACCCCATCGTTCACGCGACGACCCAACAACAAATCCGTCGGACTTACTGTGAGCATAGTGCGCGGCTGCCGCGGCGGCGGGGTGGTGCGCAGTGGGTCCTGCGTGAGGGTAGTATCCCCTGTAGTCGGTCGGGTTGCCGACGACTCCGGCGACCCCGGCGCCCCCCGAGGGCGGCTCCAGCGAGGACCTAGGTGGCTCGTACCACCTAGCCGCGCTCGACTCGCTGCTCATGTCCATCTTGCCCGGAATCCTCCTCTCCTCCGCCTCCTCCTCCGCCTCCTCCTCCGTCCGTGGTATCCGGGATCGCGAAACGCTTCCGAGGGTGTTCGTCCGAGGAGCCCGCAGGAGATATCTGGTCCCGGTTGCAACACTGGTCCGGGGCGAAGGGGGACTCTTAGGAACGCTGCCAAAAACGCCTCTCTGCCGGAAGCGTGGTCCTCTCGAGGACGCTGCTCGTCGAGATCATAGGTGATCGCTAGATTGCTCTCCGGCTACCTCCGGGCCTGTCTGATCTGCAACAACCACCGAAGAAGAAACGCCACGGGTTAGAAGGGTGCGACAAGCTGCCTCTTTCCTTTCCTCGACCGACTCGGAATTATCGAGGCCGCGGATTATATAACCTCGCTACGCTGCCTGTCTAATTGACACCGTCCGGCGAATGCGATGGGAATTACTCTTGGTTAGATTGCGGAATGGAAGGATTATTGGGAATACATGATCCGAGGGTTTCAAGGAATGGTTGGCGAGGCTAAACCTGTTGGAGGGATTGTTATATGTGTGAATAGTTTAACCATTAACCTCTTGCCCGGCGATATCGTGTTGGATTCGTGAAAATTTCAAATAGAATTTAGGGAACATAAATATTATACAATTTGTTCGAAAGCGAATTACGCGTGATTACTGTTTGATTGGTGGTTATAGCTTAGAGCAGACGTTGATAGAATAGGACTGGAATTTTCTCTTGTTTTGAATAAATGATTAATAACAAGGTAGTTAGATGGATTTACAGAAAAATTCATAAGGCAAGGGGTTAATCAATTAACTCCGTTCGACGAGTATACGCGTCATTTTAGAACGCATTTTAATACTAATTCTTTCAACGATGGATTGTTTCTTTTTTAAGATAAACACGTAAATCTTCTTCGTTTTGGTTTAGTTTTCCCTTGGAATATATTATAGGTGCGTTTGCCCTGCGTTTCATTAGTGTACAATTCATTTTGAAAATTGATTCCACAATTAATAGGTTAATTGTGATAAATGAGCACGTGAGATTAATTATTCAAACTAAGTTAGAAAGTGTAAAATGAAAGATAAATCTTAGAAATTTCAATTTTGAGTGGATATCTCTCATCGTACTAGTCATATTTAATGAATAACATAATATATATGCTTTTAGAGAAGAGTTCATAATAACATAATACTGTGACTATTTGTTACTACAAGGAGATATAAAGGTAATTATTCCGTAATACTGACTTCTCGTCGATTTGGATGACCTTGAAATATATTATGGGGGACTTGATTCTGAACAACTTTTCCCTATACATGCAGCCGCCGCTTGCCTTTAGCTTCCCAGATATTCGCAAAAATGTGTCCAGAAATTAAGAGTTTTCGTACTTATTTATAAAAAGAGAAACCCTATGATCTTCTTCTTGACATATATTGTTAAAGTCATTGTTCTGTGCGCCCAGGATTTTAAACTTTCTGACAGTGAGTATTGGTTCAAAAGTTATGAAGCATTACAGTGTCGCAATGCGCTAGAAATTTCTGTCTTCATTTTCATTTATTGAAATTCCATTCCTTATAACATGTGTCCTCGAACTTCATTTAAATAACAAAGATTGATATTAGTGTGGCTAGTTTTATATTGGTTTAACCCGTCCGATTTAATCCCCAATCGATTCTCTTCGCCACTTTGCTCGTCGAATTCGTTTTACTAACGATAATTCATGAGAAAATGAAGAACCTTGCGTTGCAAGTGGAAATTCGTGGTATTAAGAATATTGAAATAGTCATTTCACTTCTGCTTGCACGGGGCAAATAAATATTAGATCTACCGGAATGTTCTGTCTATTTTCGAATGAAAAGAAGATAATACGTGTTCAATATTGATTAATATTTGCTGAATAATAGAATTTCCATCGTTTCTAATGGTCTCTTGCTAGCATAATGGTAATTTGTGGATTGCATTTCTGTAGAATGACACCTCTTTGGAAACTTGAGATGTCATCGGACAGAATTTTCCGGTAGACATAATATATTAGGTTGTCCTATAAGTTCGTGCTGTTCATTTTTCTAATATCTAACATAATATTTTAATCTCACCCATGTAGCTTATGAAAAAACGTAATTATGCTATCTTTTCACAACCTCTCCCCACTTTTTAGACAACATTATTCCATTGCCACAAAAGTTCTTTGGTTCACCACTAAAATATTTTTGCAAAGAATTTTTTATTGCGTTCACATCACTAAATACCTTTCGAGCTAAGAACTGTTGTAATGATCGAAACAGGTGCGAAAATTTTCCAACCAAATCCACGTAATTTGTTTTTCAACGTTCCGTCTGCCGTTGTCGCAGTGAAAAATCACATTGCCACTGATTTATGAGTCTCGGACGTTTCTCTGCAATATATCCTCTTTATGTTTAAAATTCTTATAACACCACGATCTGTCGCTCTAACACCTTCTCCTGATTAACCAGTTAGCTGTTTTCGACGAGTAGACTCGTCACGAAGAAATAGCAAGGTTCCCTGTCACGACGAGTATATTCGTCGAAAAACATCTACCTGGTTAACACGTCACGAGTGTACTCGTCACGACGAAATGGCAAGGTTCCCTGTCACGACGGGTATACTCGTCGAAAAACAGCTAACTGCCGAAGGGAATATTCATTTCCGAAACAACCGATTTATACATCACTCGAACGAACATTTCTGAAGAAATGATTTGCAGATACGATCGCTTACACACACCAGAATAAGGTACGCACTTTTCAAAGAGGTCGCAACAGCTAATTAATCGAAAGGATTCGTGAAATCAGATCGACGCCGCGGGAACGAAGAGGAACACGGTTCGGTCCGAAGCCAGCTTCTCTCGCGAGATTCTCCGGTTTTCGCCGTTTCGACACGCACCCCGATCGATCGATCGATTCCCCTGGCACCACGGTAATCCGACGGAAGCGTCACTTACCCGGGCACACGGGATCACCGATGATAATCGATCGGCTGGCGAGATCTCTCTCTCCACCGGCTGATTTCGGGCTCTCCGAGCTTTAGCGCGTTCGACACTGCCGGACGATGCCCGACCCACTCGAACGATCGAGCCGGGCGATTTATCAATCGGCTGATGATCAAGGTCATCGGTGACGCAACCGACGGGCCCCTCCACCGCGATCGTCCACACGGTGGTGCTCGCGGGCTCGTTAAACAAGAAAGAGGACCGCCCTCGAACTCCGTCGATCTGGACTACCGCGGCGAAATAGAAGGGTTTTGGTGATTTTGTTTGATTCTCTTGTTAATTACACGGAAGATTAAATAAATGATAAGGAAAGTATATATACGCGGAGGATCACGTGGAAGGGCCCCCGTCGATGTGGATGATCGAGGAAAAATAGAAAGGTTTTGGTGATGTTATTTAACCTTAGTTTGGTTTTGTTGCTGATTTCACTGGAGAAATAGATAGCAAGAGGGCCTCCGTCGGTGTAGACGAACGAGGCGAAATAGAAAAATTTTGTTGATTTTATTTTCAATTTAGTTTGGTTTTGTTTGGCTTTGTTGTTTACTCAACCGGAGAAGCAAATAAACGATAAAGAATGTGGCGAAAATCAAGTGAAAGCTGTAAGAGAGCCTCTGTCGGCATGGACGATCGGGGGGAAACAGAAAAATTTTGGTGATTTTAATTTAATTTTACATCGATTTTAGTTTGATTACATTCGATATTGTTGTTGATTTAACTGGAGAAATAAATAAATGGCAAGGAATCTGAATAATATGGGAAACAGACGTAAAAAATTGTGTGAGAAAAGAAAGGGTCCTCCGTGGACATGATTTTCATTTCATTTTAGTGTACTTCTGTTAATGATTTCATTGAAGAAATAAATAAATGATAAAGAATGTACACAATAAAGGAAGTATTATGATTTTGTGTTGATTTTACACGATTTTGTTATTAATTTAACTAACCAGTTAGATAGCCATATAATAAATAAATATACAAATATTGAACAACACTAATAATGAGAAAACCAGTAGCGAGGAAAGAAAAAGGGTTGTCAACCTGGCAGATCGCAAGAGAAGATTTCGTTTTATTTAGATTTCATTCGATCCTATTACGAGTTTAATGAAATGGGGAAGAGAAAGAGTGACAAAATACGAATAACACGAAAAGTAAACGTGAAACAATTGGAACGAAAGAAAAAAGAAGAAGTATTGATGAATTTGGGGTGATGAAGTTGACAACCGTTACACGAGTTTGATTACGTTTCAGATCGAATGTTCGCTGCTTGCGATAAAACTACGAATAGATCGATCTCTGATCATTAAAGATCGCTGAACATCTAATATCGGTTCCGAAAAAATCACTTTTATTTGTTCTTCAACAGAAAGGATTCTTCGATACAATAGATTGATTTAAAAAACGACGAATTAAGCGAAAAAATGCATATTCAGAGTTGAAAATAAATGACGGATTGAAACGAAGAGAAGAGGGAAATACAGTGACGAGAATATAGAATCAGGAAATGTCTAAGAAACTTTTCGATCTATTACGAATTCCGACGGAAGTGGCTTCAGAACATGATTTGAATCGAATAAGATTACTTATTTTATTATCATTATTTTGATTTGAATTGGTTCAATATAAACACGATAATCGTAAAGTAAACGGCAACAGTGTATGGGTGTGGTATACATGACCGACAAGAGAATTAAAAAAATCAGTAAGTTAGTTCACAATCTGAAGAACCGTAAAGTTCTATAAAATGAACACAACATAATATTCTATTAAGTTCGTTAAAAAGAAACTATTTTGTACATTCCACTTTCCTAGTTTGTTCTTCGAAATAGGCTTCTTTCTCGATCTTTCTAAAGAAATAAATAATCTAAGGATAATCACCTAGCCCGCAGATAAGTTCGATGTACAAAAAAGATATACTGATTAAGTCAGATTAAATTAGATCTGATAGGAATATTAACGAGAAAAAATAAACTTTTCGATAAAAAATTCATGAAACATGAAACCGTAAATTGTTCCCATACTCAACGAGTAAATTTAGGTTAGGTTAGAAAACTGTAAATTCGATGTAAAAAAGAAAATATTCTGATTAAATCAAGTTAACGAGAAAAATGAACTGTTTGATAGAAGCTTCATGAAACATCATAAAATCACAAATTGTCCCGCGAGCAGATTCGATTTTGAGTGAATACGATCTTTCCAACGCGGACTGGAAGACCACGAAGCCGCCGGGCAGCGGACCATTTCCGAAATTGTGTGTTCAAGGCAAATAAAATACT